AAAGAGATGGACTGAAGAGTAACAGAAGGAAAGGAGTTTAGAACGTTCTACCTCTGAGATAAGTGCACGGGAAGCCGGAAATGAAAAGAAATGCAAAGCTATTTTGAGGGGAAAAGGAGGAAGTTAAGATAAGAAAAGTCAGACAGCTTCAAGCTTCTCAGGAAATGATGAGATTATTGTACATAAAAGCTATTATTCAAACCAAAGCCATAAAGGCTGTGAGATCTTCAGTGGACACTCATGGAAAGAGCGGTGCCTTTAAAAAAGCCTAAAAGGTTTGCTGAAGGACCAGCAAATGGCATAAGTGTTACATTGTTGGACTCCCACACAGTTGACCTTGGTTGGAGTCCCAGACCCGGTGGCTTAAAACTATCACTGGGCACGTGTGCATGCATGCCCAACATCCTGAGAAGAGAAAGGAGGAGAAGCGATTGTGGCAAGGCCATCCCCCCTGGGGAGTGATTTTTTGCTTTCTATCTCTCTGTCTCTCCAGCGAGCACATGCACCCTATAGCAAAAATCTCTCCCCAGAAAAGAAAAAAAATAGGGAACCAGCAGTTGGCGTAATGGTTATGTCGCGGGACTCCCATGTAGTCGACCAAGGTTCGCGTCCTGGACCTGGTGACTTAAAACTCATGCCGGACGCGTGTGCGTGTGTGCCTGAGAGGAGAATGGAGGAGAAGGGATTGCGGCGTGACCATCCTCCCTGGGGGTTGATTTCTCGCTTTCTGTCTCTATGTCTCTCTCTGTCTGGCGAGCACACGTGCCCTATAGCGAAAACCTTTCCAAAATAAATAAATAAATAAATAAATAAATAAATAAATAAATAAAAGATCTGTTGAGGTTGCTGCAAATAATAAAATGGGTAGTATGTGATAAATTATTCCTGAATTTAACACCGGTAAAAAGAAAATCCTGTTTGCCATGATTTGAATATGTCCCCTGAAAATTCATATGTGAGTCATTTTAACAAAATCAAGAGACTAAAAATTTGATCCAATTATTGGGTTGAGTATGGGACCTTTGAAAGGAGTTTAGCAATTAGGTGATTAGAGCAGATCCCCATGAAAAGAAATAAGAGAAACAGACAGACATAGAACAGTAAAAAGAAAATCCTGTTTGCCATGATTTGAATATGTCCCCTGAAAATTCATATGTGAGTCATTTTAACAAAATCAAGAGACTAAAAATTTGATCCAATTATTGGGTTGAGTATGGGACCTTTGAAAGGAGTTTAGCAATTAGGTGATTAGAGCAGATCCCCATGAAAAGAAATAAGAGAAACAGACAGACATAGAACAGACCACACTCTTTTTATGTTGTAACATAGGATGGCCTGATACCCACTTTACACCTTTGGATATTCCAACCACCAGAACTGTGAGTCTAGTAAGCCTCTATTTATAAATCACCCAGTCTCAGGTATTTCTGTTGCCAATGCAACAACTGAGAGAGACATTATTGTTATCACATTTAGACTAACGTGGTCAGTAACCCCCACTAACCAACCAATAATTTTTGCCCACAACTGTGCACTGAAACTGTTTAAGTTATTGTGAACCGTTTTTAATTTGCCAGAGGGCATATGTGCTCACCAGGAACAGGAAAAGTGAGAAAGCATCCCCACTGGGAATGGTCATACCACAATCCCTCCCATTCCATTTCTCCCTCCTTTTGGGATTTTGGACAGGCACACACATGTGCCTGGTTGTTTCTCAAGGCATCAGGTCCAGACTCATCAGGTCCATGCAGTTGGCCAAATAAGATTCGGCTGCCTCACCCACCATGCCACTGCTGGCCCATAAGGTTCTTCTTCTTCTTTTTTTTTTTTTCCAATGATAAAGGATAAAGTGAAGCTGTGAGAATCTACGATATTCTTAGGAGCATGTGGGATACACACACACAGAAACACACATATAATATATATATTTGTATGTATGCATACACACACACACACACACATATATATATATATATTTTGCTATAGGGTACGTGAAATTTGATTTTATTTTTGGAGAGGTTTTTGCTATAAGGTGCATGCACGCATGTCTATTTATTAGAGATTGTTTCCATAAAAATAAAGTGGCATATAGAGAAAGTCATAATTTGTTTACAAATGACTATAGTACTATTCGTTGAAGGCTTTATCAAAATACAGTTGCCAATGTGCAATACCATTTTAACAGAGAAATAAAATATAGTTATTACTATCATTAGCTGTTACAGGCACAACCTAGGTAGAATATGGTACAAAGCAGATCCCCAAGACTATATAATATCTGGTAATCTAGAGCAGAGATAAAAATCAAGTGAGAAACAGCAGTCAAAGCCTTTTCTCAACTCTCTAGCCTGTGCCCCAGATAGGTTTATTTTCTATTGATTTATAGTCATCTAAATAGCACATCTGTTTAAAGGAGAAAGGAGGAGTACATAAGAGAAATGCTGAATTCTTACTTCACACATGAAACAAAGCAACCTGATACCATGAACACCATGTTTGATACATCTGAGTCTTCTTCATTTTAAATCTTTAATAATCCCAAACTTGGAATAAATTACCCAACTATTCTGTATTTTTGTTTGCTCTTTTACAAGAGAGATACGATGATTATTCCCTTGTATATTGTATAAGGTTCAAATGAGATGCCATATGTGAAATTCTTTGTAACTATAAAGTAAGATAGATTTCCAACTGCCTGTCTTATGGGATCCTGTGGATAACCAGTTGTCTGTGATGTCAGTAAAATAAATGACCAGGATTGAGTCTTGATTTCCTTACACGACTGACAAACAATTAAGAAAAGACCAAAGATATGTTCCCAAATAGGGATTTCTAGGAACAAAGAAACACCCAATAGAATTCACATACGTAGTTGACATAATTAAATAAATACCAAAAAGAAGCAAAAGATGAAGACTGACAAAAGTCTTAAAATATTGGTGCTGGAGGGACCAGCAGATGGCATAATGGTTACATCACTGGACTCCCCTGTGGTCACTTGTGGTTTGAGTCCTGGACCTGGCAGCTAGAAACTCACACCGGGTGTGTGTGTATGTGGGCCCAAGATCCTGAGGGGAGAATGAAGGAGAAGGGACTGTGGCATGGCCAGCCTCTCTGGCGTGATTTCTCACTTTCTGTCTCTCTGTCTCTCTTTCCAGTGATTGCATGCACCTTATAGCAAAAATCTTTCTCTAAAATATATATATATATAATATATATATATAATATGTATATAAATACAGATATATATACACATATATATATCATATATGTGTATATATATCTGTATTTAAACCTAGGCAATCTGACTCACGAGGCCACATTCTTTTTTTTTTGGAGAGGTTTTTGCTATAGGGTGTGTGCGCTCGCCAGACAGACAGAGAGAGACAGGGGGGCA